TTCCTTTTTTACAAAGTGGGAAAAATAATACTTACATTTCAGGATGCTGTAAATATTGAATGGAATGATATATGCAGCATACCTAACCCAGTGTGCGATGCCCAGTAGCTGCTTATCAAATGAGCTGTTCTTACCTCTCTATGAGCTCCTGGGGCTGCTACTCCAGATCGCCAGAAGGGATTTTCCTCCTGTCGCATCCACAATGGGACTCACTGACCTGCTCTGGTTCACTTGATAGAGCTCATTTTCTTTGAAGTCTTCATTTCTTTAGCTGTTAATATACTTGTCCAGTGTTTCAAACGCAAAAGCCTATTGAGGCTAGCCAAGCCATTTTAATGAGTGAAGCGGAGTTCATGCAAAAAAACCTGGAAAGTTGTTAATATTTGTCATGAACATAGTCATGTCACATAAATATATATGTCATTGGAGACTGTATTTCAGAGAGATTTTCAAGGCAATAATAATTCTATTTCTGCCCAAGTGTTAGGCAAACACAATGAGAGGTGGTGCCTTTAGCAGCCTGGAATTATGGAAGCTGTCTAGAAAGGGCAGCTGCTACTCACCTCCAGGTGGCTACTGCCACACAGGCAAACAAACCCTGGCTGAGCTCATCTTCCAATATTTGAAAATAAGCAAAACACTGGAATTTTCATGTGAGATTTCCCTATATTTGAACACTGGGCCCAGCTTGTCCCTAAAGCTCCCAGTTTGTGACTCCAGCCCAACGATTTTCTGGTTCTCCTCAGACCTCTGAGGCCATTCTTCTTTTCTTTCACAGGCTGCTAAGCCAGGGTTTCATTTCTAGTCCCTTTTTTCTGTATGATGTTCTTAATCAATCTCATCTGTTTCTGGGGTTTAAAACCCTGCTTTCTATGTTGAGAACCCCTAAATTGAAGTTCCCCAAAGCTAACATCATCTTAGAATTTTAGTCTCATTTTCCAGCTACTTGATAAATATCTCCATGTAAATCTCTCTCAGACATGTCCAAGGCAGCGTCACCCAGACTAATCTCATGAGCTTCCCTGAGCTTTCTCCCAATGGAAACCTCTTGGATGTTCCTGATCCCTATTACCTTTTAAGCCAATGCCATGACCATTTGCCCAGTAGCCCAACCATAGATCTATGACTCAACCTAGACCCTTTCCTTCTCCATCACCACCATGTATAATTACTTTTCAAGTCCTACCAATTTTATCTCATGGACATTTGCCAAATGCTCTCCTCCACATATCTAGAGTCTCTGCCCTGGCCTGACTTCACCACTTGTAATTTTTCCTAACTGCCCTTCCTGCTTTCAATTTCACTTAGCCCCAGTCCATTCTCCCCAGAGGGTCAATTTAAAACTATCAGTATCTCTCTCATACCCAGAACATTCCCAGGTTTTCAGACATCTGAGCTCACTGAAATTCTGTAAAATGCAGTGTGAGCAGTGATAAATCAAGATTAAGATAGGGACCTTAACTCTAGAAGCAGATGGGAGCTAAGAGCAGTGCAGAGAGGTCAAGTGAATAATCTGGAATAGGCAGTGATCAGGGCTGATGGAAGCGGGAGCTATATTATAATTTTCAATTTTTTGAAGGGGTACCTTGGGCCACAGGCTAAGTCCCAGTCTTTTTTTCTAAAGCCCCTGCCTAAAGGAATTGTATTGAGCCAAAGTTCCTTTTTTCTGCTCACAAAAGCAGACATATCTTGTTACCCATGATCCCAAATTTTGAAATGCAGTCTGTGTCATTTCATTAACCTTTCTCTTAAAATGTTCCACCTTCACTGTTTATTGTTCAATTATCTAACTATTTTTAAGCTAAACACAATCTATAGGCCCTGAAAATGTAAATGTTATATAGCTGTAACTGTTTTATTTCAGGACTCTGGTGACCTTGAAGGATTTTTCTAAATCTTCTGCTTTTGTTTATTTTTTGTCACACTATCCCCATGATGGAACCAAAGCCCCATTATCCATAATTCCTTATCACTTTATTGTAAGCTTTAGCAGAAACCACTGGAGATTTTACTGTGTTATGAGAACCTCCAAATTGCATGACATTCTTGTTTTACAAGTTTCTTATCTCCTTTTCATTTGTTCGGGAGATGGTCACCAGTGGCTAACAGCGTCAGTAGAATCTGTTGAAAGGGAAAAAATGCTTTTGTTCTCCAGTCTCCTTATCTATAGTTCAGCTTGTGTTCTCTCAGCCACTAGTGAGTTCTGACATCACTGGATTCCCATGGTGTAACCGCAGCCACTCACAAAAATAACCTTGTAATTGAACTCCACTTGTTCATCACAGTTTTCTGGTATATTTTTAATCATCCCTCTTCTTTACTGCTCTAAAATTCTGATGGTATCAGGTAAAAATCCTGAATAATTCACTTTGCTTAGATATTATCCTTTTTTCCATTATTAGGTCTAAATGTCAGTATTAAAACTGAGAGTTAAAAAACAAACAAACAAAAAAAAACCTGAGAGTTATAAGAAGCAAAGTTAAATAGATTCCTGATGCATAAAATACTTTCATAAATGACTTGTACTAAGTACATCTCCTAACATGTTTTTGGTGGAGGGGGGCAAAACTTACCAGTAAATTAAAACACACAAATATAAAAAAAGAATATGTAGATAAAAATGAAAATGTAATAGTTTTTTAAAAATTGGTTTAGTTTTATTATAACATAAAAGCCCTTTCTGTTATACAAGGTAAATAATAAGTGAATAGGTATTAAGCGAAGGTCTCAAACAATTTATTTGCAAATATTAAACTTTTGCCGTTTAAAAAAAAAATGAAGAAAATAGCAACATAAGGGAAAATCAGTAGAAACGGTACCAAAGAACATTAACAGTGAGTTGGTGAAAGATGAAATAGAATGCCAATGAGCTCATGAAAACATTTTAATGCAATAAATAAAAACAGCCCTTTCATCAAATATGCCCACACATCCACGCGTGCACACACGCATATACACGCACACACATTCCATTAAATAAAATTGTCCAAATATGGTATATATTCCTGATAAAATTGTAGGAAAAGACGCATTCTCAAACACTGATTTCTTAATTAGAAGACTCCAAATTTCTGTAAGTATCAGTTGGATAGCAAGGTAGGCAGTCAAGACATTTCAAAACATGATTTAACTGACCAAGTAGCTATTGTGTTGAAAAGCTCGTCTAGAGAAATGTTCTGAAACAGCAGAAAAGGCTTTCTACCTCAGAAATGTTTGGCACTGTCTCCTGTGTAATGTCTAATATAAAACAATGATTAAAGAAACCATAATCCATCCATAGACCAGACTGGAATGCAGCATGCAATTGTAAGAGTATAAAATAATCAGGAGAAAGGGTTATTTCTAATGTTGAATCAAACAAAGCTGTATGTAAATTTTCATGTGTGGAGCACAATATCAACTATGAACAAATATTTATAATATAAGGCTGTAGAGAAATACAAAACAAGTGTGGCCATTTCTATGTGATGGGATAAGGAGTAATTTCTATTTTAATCATACTTTTCTATTCTCTCTAGCCATTCAACAATGGACATTGTGTGCTTTTAGTATTTATTTTAAATTGTTATAAATACAGCCATAGAAGATGAGTGGCGGCATAGTTCAAAAATGAGCCTTCGTTTGTTTGTTTTGAGTGGTAATATGTGTGTGATTGCAGTTCTTAAAAAGGTACTAGAAATGAATACTTCTATTAATAAAACATTTGGAGACTCTTTAAAAATGATTCTGTTTTTCTAGATTGGGGGACAATAATCAACTCACTAGTTCACATACCTGGTGCTGGAAGTAAAGTAACTCATGAGTCTGGTTTATTTGCATTTGAATCTTTTGATCCTGTTTGCTCTCGCTGCGCAAAGTGCCTTGCGATGTTCAAGTTCTAATCTGTCTTCTCATATGCCATTGACTCACGGAAGTGTGGTTAACATTAGCCTTTGTGGCAAGGAGATGAAAGTGAGAAATTTGTGATAGTCCAAAAGTTGTCATGTGGGTGGAAAAATGAAATTTGGGGATTTTTTCTTTTTTAGCTTTCAAAGTGGAAAAAAGGTTATATAAATGGAATAAGGGTCACATAACAATATCTATATTGGTAGTTTATTTGAATATAACCAATATCAGGTCCCTTTTATACAACTGACCACCTCCAACAGGAGTTGGGACAAAATTAGAATTTTCCATTTTTAGAAGGGGGAGCTAAGGCCACTCTCCTTTTTAAGATCCCTGGCTAAAAAACAATTGTATTAAGCCAAACCTTTCATCTTCAAACAAGCATTTATACTTTGCCCTATATAACCCCCAATTTTGAAATGACTGCCATGTAGTTTAATTAAGCTTTCTTTAGAATTTGATACCTCCCATGTCAGGACACTTGGGGTAGAGATAGCAATCATCTGTTTAGTAGATTCTGTTCTATATATCTCACTCCCACAATTATGGCACATACAGCTCCTTGGCCTTGAACAGAAAGTAACCACCAATATGCCTCACCAACAACCACTGGGATCAGAGTTGGAGCTGAGTGATTAATGATGAAATTTTGGCTTCAGAACTCACTAGCCTCCACAGAATGATAATATGTAATTTTTTTCTATATCTCTTTTAAATTTTAATTCTTTCTTTTGTTCTCCAGGATTTTGTTCCATAACATGGACTGGGCCCCCATTAGTTTGGGCTGCCTTGTGTCAGGCTCTGGGGGTAACATTTTTACACTGATTTCCTTTGGGAAGGAACAAACACACACACTGTGGAAGATAACAATGTTCTGGGACAAACTGTGTTGTCTCAGCAGTTCTCACCGGTCCTAACAACGAGCACAGCATGGTAGTAATGGGGTCCACGGTATCACCTATAGACCAGGAGTCATAATGCCTTGACTGCTTGAAGCCAGCAGGGCTCTCAACCATATAACACACAGGGGGCCCTTCCGAGTTTTAGAACTATGATTCTATTTTATTTTCTTTTGTACTTCATTGCATTCTTTCTCATGCTCTTTTCATTCAAAGATTCAATCACAAGACAGGATTATGATACTCCACCAGCTGTTGTGTCAGGTAGGAAAATTCTAATTCCTTTAAGACTGGATTGGAGGGGAGAGATGGAGGTTGCCTGGTTTTCTCCAAAACTCTTTAAAGCAGTGATTCTCAACAGGGGTGGGTGCAGGTCATTTGGATTTCATTTTGGAAGGGGGCATATGTAGCTCAGAAAAAAATATTTTTAATAGTACAATCCAGTTTTATGTTTGCAAAATGAAATATATTCCTTTTAAATGAAACGTAAAATCTCAAAGATACTTTGTCTATCAAGGATGCACAGAAAATAGAGTCCATGATCTGTGTGTCAGTGATTCTCAGTGTTAGATAAGAGGTCTTCAGAATTTCTGACAAGGGAGAGAAAAATTGGGTTTAGCAAAAGAAGGCACAGATGTATAAAAAATAGTTTGAGAAGCACTGCTTTAGAGACCAGAATTCTTCTGAAATTGGAAAATTTTCACATTTTGCTTGCTCAGCACCCAGCATAGTGTCTGACACATAGTAGGTGCTCAATATAATTGTTTGTTGAATGAATCAAAACTTCAAATTTGTTCCAAAAATGATGTTTTGGATATTAAAAGAAAAGCTGCCATTGTTCCATTTGTACAACAAAGTGGCGTGGGTTGATTTGAGTACATATTAACATCTTAATTATAATTAGCGCTATCTAAGTTGTATAAAACAAAGTGGTGAAGTTTGTCATAGGGTATATGTATGTGAAGAGGGAGGTGGATTTTTATTTTGGACTGCACAGATTTTCTTATACTTTCACCTTAATTTTATATTTTGATTTCTTGCAGAGAGGAAAATGGGCACAATTTTCATTTTTGTTGTTTTTTGTTATTTTTTTTTTAACAAAACATTGGTACTCTGAAGAGCTTGAACTCTTTGATCCTTTAGCGTGTTCGATGGCAAGGGCATACAATAGAAATGAAGAAGGGAGCTGGAAAGACAGAGCGAGAAAGAAAGGCCAGAAATAGGCTGATATAACTCAGGAGGCACTTGACTCGGGCAATCTGATGGCAGTTTTCAAGCAGAGATCATCTTGCTTGGGGCCAGTCTGCTTGCTTGATTGGGCGTGGCTGAAGGGTTATTCTTTTCTAATGCCTTGTGGACTTGTTTGGATTTGCTCATAGCTGAATGGTCATCTTGGAACTTCAATTAAGAATGTCCCATTGAGGAATAATGATTTAGCTTTCAGCTGTGAAACTGTGAACTCAATATCTCTATAAATTGTCACTAATTAAAATATCACCTATCTTTTCTCAAAGCATTACCTGTCATATCTTAACATGGCCGTTTCATTTAGGATACCGAACTCCCGGGAAGAGACTTTTTAATGTAGACATCTTCTACTTCATTTAACACATAGCATCTTTGTTGCACAAGAAGCATCTACTCTTGATAATTTACCAAGATTTATAATAATAAAAGTCACAAGGAACAATCCTTCAAATAGGTTTTCTGATTTTACCTTTAAAACCACAATGAAATAAAAAATCAATCAAAACATCAAAATACTTACTAGGTATCAGTCATGTGTCAGGATCTATACAAATCAATTAAGGCAGAATATCTGGCTGAAAAACCTAAACTTGGTAGTTCTCATCTGATTCCACAGACAGGAGCCACTAACTGTTCTTGAGCATATAAATGACTTGCTGAAAGTAGTGCTTTAGGAAACTTAATCTGGAAGTTTTGTGTGTATTTGAGGAAGAAATAAGAATCATATAGAGTAGCTAGAAAGCCCAAGTCTGATGTACTTTCTTTATAATAAAAAAAAAATTGTGTGGTATAGAGTATAACTATATATTCAATATATAGTTGTTATGAAAAATTACATTTTGGGTGATTTCACCATTAGTTTCCCCTTCTAAGATTTGATTTATGATTTGATATATTAAAAATTTTCACAAACTTATTTTGTCTACCCCTAAATGTAAATGCACTTCCCTTTGTAGAATGTTTGTTAATTGGTTGGTGGGACAACTTCAGGGAATTTTAAACAGTGAAATATCTTTTGTCCAGCACTTGTCCTCATCAGGAAAGAGAAATAGGCAAGAGTGTTGTTACTTATCTTTCCCAAATCATCTAATATGCCAATATTGGAGAACACGAATAATCAATTTTTTGTCAACATAGGAGCCAATTAAATTGCTGTAGTTTATTAGAGTTCTACTCGATAAGTTATAGAGACATGACCCAACCTAATTTCATTCAATCAATATTTTTACATTTATTGAACAACTTCTGAGTACTATACTCAAGAACTATGGATACAAAGACAAGGGAAAATAAACCATTGGTAAAAAAAAAAAAAATCATGGCTTAATGATGTTGTTGGTATTTGTGATGTTGAATGAAGTGCAAAGAAATAAAAATTTAGAAAGAAGATTTGAAATCTATGGTAATAAAATGAATTCTGAGCTGGATTTAGAAGAAATACCAAGTTAGACAAGACTGAGAAGGTATATTAGGCAAAAATGGAAAAGAATGTGTAAACCCTTGGAGACAGGATAAAGTATGGGATTTTTAGGTGATAGCAAGTCATGTGGTATTTGGGGGGGGGGAGGAATACCACTATATCATACACTAAAACTAGGTCAGTATGCATTGGATTTGTGGAAGGGACCCTTTCTTTTTGAGAGTGTCATCTTGTTCTTTTATTCATTTAATAATATTTATTGGAAGCCTATCAAGTAGTCATCACTGTGCTAATTTCTGGAGGGTGCAACTTCCTCCCAATTTAGGGTATAGTTAGGAATTTAGGCATAAACAAGTTATTATAACACAGGGTCATAAATGTTTCAATGTGAACAAGTATCATGGTTTTTGTTTGTTTGTTTTTGAGACAGAATCTCACTATGTTGCCCTTGGTAGAGTACCGTGGCATCACAGCTCACAACAACTTCCAACTCTTGGGCTTAAGTGATTCTCTTGCCTCAGTCTCTCAAGTAGCTGGGACTATAGGCTCCTGGCACAATGCTGGGCTATTTTTCGGTTGCAGGTTGTCATTGTTGTTTTTAGCTGGCCGGGGCCAGGTTTGAACCCACCAGCCTCGGTGTATGTGGCTGGCACCATAACCACTGTGCTATGGGTGCTAAGCCAAAATACTATGATGTTTAATTTTATAAATTCTTTAATAAGTTACCTGAGTTCATGACCAAATTTTGTCACTTAATACTTATAGGAATTTGGGGAAATTATTACCTGCTCTTAAGTTTGGATTACTCATATGGGGAGATAATAATAATTAGGTAATAAGGTTGTTGTAAGCATTAGGTAAGTTAAGATGCAGAACCTGCTTAGAACAGATCCTGGCAAAAATAACTGCTCAAACTCTATGAGCCACAACTGTGCTAATTATTAGAGGTACAAGGTCCTATGATTTTACAGAGAAAGAACAGCTAACATATACTAGGAAAGGCCAGAGGAAGAATTCCAGAGAAAGAAATCTTGCAATATAAACATTAAGACACATGGGAATTAGCTATATAAAAAATAAATGGGAAGAGTTTCAGAACAAAGGATGGAACATGTGAAGGAAGGCTCACGGAAGCAAGGCGTGGCAATATTAGGAAACAACAAGTGGTTAAGTAAATCCAAGGGTACATATAGAAAAATGAGGAATAGAGGAAAAAAAACCTGGAGAAACAAATAAGCTGGAACAGTATTACTAGGTAATGGCAACTGGAACACTATCTTGATGGCAAAAGAAAGACACCAAAAGGTGTTAAGTTAGAGAATGACATGATCACTCTTTCCATTGGGAAGAGGCAAAATAGGGGGAATAAAACTCAAAACAATAAACCATGGTGGCATATACCCAAGCTGTGGAAATGTGAATGGATGTTTGACATATTTATAACATAATAAGAAGGTAGAACACATAAGACCTGGTGACTGATTAAATGCCAGAATAAAAGGAGAGAGAATTCAAAGTAGCTCTTAAGTTTCTAGCAACTCAATAGCCTAAGGTGCCACTTACTGGGATCTGAACCACAGGAAGGAGAATCTGGTGTGTCTAGAAAAAGACTGATTTCAGTTTCAAATATGTTTGTGATATGATGCACCCAGGTGGAGATGTTTAATAGGTGTTTGGATGTGCATATCTGAGCTCAGAAGACATCTCTTAGGTGGAGGTGGATTTTGGAGTTACTATCACATATCTAAGTCAATGTCATCCAGAGACTATCCTTAAAATCAAGAGGAGGATGAACCTTGACATTAAAAATGGACAAAAAAGGAGCCTAAAATAAAGATTAGAAAAGATAACTATCAACATAGAAGGAAAACCAAGAGTATAACGTTTCAAAGAAGCCAATGTCTAGAGCAGCAGTTCTCAACTTGTGGGTCACAACCCCTTTGGGGGTCAAAAAACCCTTTCATGGGGTCAGCTAAATACATCCTGCATATCAGATATTTACATTGCAATTCATAATGGTAGCAAAATTACAGTTATGAAGTAGCAATAAAAATAATTTTATGATTGGGGGGTCACTAAAACATGAGGAATTATACTAAAGGGTCTTGGTATTAGGAAGGTTGAGAACCACTGGTCTAGAGAGTGTAACTAAAGAGATGCCTGTCTAGTAACATGAGTCTTGAAAACTGACATTGGAGATATACACTAGTGAATCTGATGGTGCAACTTTAGATGGAAAGGCAAAGGCAGTGAATTACATTTAGGGAAAGAGATGTCACAAGTAAAGTAAGCTCAACAAACTTGACTTTGAAGAGGAGTGGAGAAGATGGAAACAGGAAAAAATAGGTATTTGAACTGATGGATTTGTTTTTAATATGAGAAATATTTGATACTGGTGGGAAGAAGCCAGGAGGGGGTTCTAAAGTTTGAAGACATAATCCATGAGGAGGATGACAATGGGACAAAGTCCATGAGGAAGCTAGTATCTCTTCTAGGAATGTGGGAGGACAGGAGGAAGGAACAGTGTACATGTGCATGTAAGTGTGAAAATGTGGGAAGAGGAAATCAAAGGATTTCCCACATGGTAAATATTAAT